ATAGAATAAAGAATTATTAGATTCGATATATATATAAATTCAAATATTTAATCTTTACTTATAGTTCTATTTATAGAGAATAGATAAACAATTAATTATATTCGAGTATATATAAAACGAAGATTGAACGAAAAAATGCTTTAGATTAATCTATATCTTATTAAGTAAAAGGAGATAAAATAATTTAAAAGCTTTATATTATTCTAATAAGATATCTCATTAGATATAAAAAGATATAACTCTTAAATCTAAAATGTTTATTTACTCAAATCGAGATTATATTACTTTGAATTGTATTACAATCGATAAATTATTTCACATCAGATATATAATGAATGCAAGATATCGAATCGGATGGAGAATTTGAATTGGGTCGGTAGTTGATGTATAACAGATGACTATAACCTCCTAATCCCTCCAAGGTATCTTTTCAAAGAAAGCCTTGACCCAAAAAAAAATATGTCTCACGTTTCACCTACCTTGGAATCCTTCCCGAGCTGCCATGGCTCATATCCTTCATCACAGAACAACAAAACAACGAACCTTGAGGATTCTGCCAGGTAAGACATCACACATCCAATGTGTAACGCCACTCCACATTCCCCTTACCTCGAAGAATGTCAGATTAAATCGTCAGCTCAATTCACCTATTGTAAACATTACAACATCAGTCAGCTTTTAGTTTTCGCAACTCGAAGGATTACCTTGTCTTTCTTTCTTCCTTTCTTCCTATCCTTTTCTCAATCTTTGCTTTTCTTTGTTCTGGTTTTGTGATTGCAAAATGATTTTGTGTCAACCGTTTCGCATCTTCATGATCACTACCGTTTGCATCAAGAATGATACCACGTGTAGCTTCATAATATCGGACATGGGAATACATCTTGGCCAGATGCAGTATTTTTGGACGATTACTGATCTCGGCAGCATTGCGAAATATGTGACATGGATGCAATAGGCATGGTGGTTTTACGACTAGTCGCCTATATAATGGGATTGATTTGATGTTTCTTTGTTTTGAATGAATGCTATTGTGTTTTGTGTGAGTAGGGCGAATGGGGGCGGGCACGACAGGTGGCAATTATTATTATGGGCGAGATTGAGTGAAATCGAAAAGAATCTTTCGTGATTAACGAGCACGTTGAAACTTGCTGTCAATATGTAATATGACTCGCATTTGCGAAATTTTCTTTTTGTAAGGTTGGCATGGGTATTAAGTGTGAGTAAGAAGTTGCATCGAATTCTTTTGTTCATGGCGACTAAAGACGAACGAAGTCGAAAATAGCTTCGAGGCGTATTGGGCCGTGGCAAATTTGGTTGCGATGAACAGCTCAACCTCAGCTGAATAGTAGTACAAGGAGGACATAAGGTGATGAGGGAGTTGCTCGAAAATAGCCAGCGATTTGTCCCATGGAAGAACGCATCCCTATACTAAAGGATCGTCTTTGCTGTAAACTCCGCCCAGATGACCGTACGTCGAACCGAAAGAAAACCTGAATATTATAAAAGAAATCCTAGCATCCGTTGAAAAAGAAATCAAAATGAATCGTGTTGTTTCGCTCGAAATCCGCCGAAACAGTTGTAAACCCGCGCACTGCTTTTGCATTTTCCGTCGCCCGAAGCTTTGGACCATGATGAATACAAACGAGAAAAGAAGCACAAGTGGAAGTACACCCGCATCAATGAAAGTCGCAGATCCAAAGCTCTCGTTTTGCGTTCTTCGAGATCGTGCGATTTAACGAGCAGGTCGCTCACCACCTATGTCGGTCAGCAATTAATATTCACGACGGGAATGTCTGTCATCATCGTAGGCTCTACCTCCATATGGCTCTCGAGCGTCTCCACGAGGAGCTTGATCACCATAGGCAGCAGCAGGAGCTGGGTCTCGAGCTGGTCTTTCATCGCGACCACCCTCACGACCACCCTCACGACCACCTCGGTCGTATCGGTCACGGTCTTGATATCCACCTCCACGGCGTTCATCACCTCCACGGCTGTAACGATCACCACCATCGCGGGGTCCGGCGTAACGATCGATTCCACGGGGAGCGTCGTTGTAGTCGTCACGATCACGGCGGCTGTATCCTCGGTCTCGGAAATCTCTGCCACCACCACTGCCACCACTGCCTCCTACATAGCGGTAAGGATCAGAGCGGTATTCACCACCACCACCACCTCCACGACGACGTTCATCATAACGATCTCCGCCGTATCCACCACCACGGGGAGGTCCACGAGGATCCTCTTCTTTTCAGTTAGTTGTGTAGTCAAAATAACAGTCAAAGATCACTTACCTCTCTTTGGTGGTCCAAAGTACTTGCCAGGGGTTGGGGTACGAGGACGAGCACGACGAGCCTTCTCAATGCTCAAAGTTCGGCCTTCAATGACCTCACCTTGCAAGCCCTCCTTGGCAGCATCAGCTTGATCAGAGGTAATCATCTTGACGAAACCAAAGCCACGAGATTCACGAGTGTGAGGGTCACGCATGATTTGGCATTTCTCAACATCACCGTATTTCTCAAAAAGGCGGGAAACCTCTTCTTCGAGAAGACGAGGGTGAATACCAGTGACGAAGAGGTTGGAGCCTGGGTTGACTGCGCCATCATCATTTTGAGGACCAGGTCCACGATCATTCTTGGGTCCGCTGCTGTTTGTTTGTCAGATTATATATTTTTGTGATTCGTAATGAAGTCGACTAACCGCTCATCGACACGGCCATTTCTGTCAGGAGAAGCAGATCGGCGAGGTCCTCCACGTGGGCTCTCATTGCGACGTGTTGGGCGAGGAGATGCGCTGCGATCACGCTCGTAACGAGGAGCCTCATCTAAGTAAAGAAATGAAGTTAGTAACAAATTCCACGTCATCGCGACAGTTTCAAGTAATAGGAACTGGATGGGAATAAATACCTTCGTAACGAGTGCCGTTCTCATTCTCATAATCCATGGTGGAAGTCATGATGATTAGGTGTTATTGTGAAACAAAAACACGAAAAGTGTCAAAAGGGTTGGTTGTCTGAAGCTGTCGCAAATAAATCTCGAGCTCTGAAATTGCTCAAGAATTGCTAATATCAGAAAATGATATCAAGAGGTATTGCACAAATGCAAATATTTGATATTATTGATGGAGGTAAGGTGGTGATAAAGAAACAAAGATGGTTGGAAGATGTTGTTGTTGAAAGGAAGAGGCACGTTAAGGTCAGATTGTACGAAGTAAAAGAAGTCGTCGCGACCTGAAAATTGGGCCTAGCGTCAACGCTAACCGACAGCGGCTAAGCTAAATAAAGCGGTCAAGCTGAAACAAATAAAAGTATGAATATTATTTATAACTATTATTAGTCTATATAGATTTCTACTTAGTATTCATTCTTATCAATACTCTTTTTATTTAAATAATTACGATTAATAAATCAATTATTAATCTTTAATTACTTCTTCTCAAGCTTTTATTATATTCAAATTACTATTTCTAAAAAATATTTTAATAGAAGGAAATCTTTAAATAAATATATATCGATATTCTAATTATTTAAATATTTTATTTATTATCAAACTATAGAAGGCTGAATATGGACTTGAATAGAAATATACAAAGAATCAATAAACATCGATCAAGAATCTTTAACTTTAATGAGGTGAATGTATATACATAATCCGAGTCCCCTCCCAATTGCCCCCAATAACGTCCTTCCCCCAAAGGAAATACTACATTCACCCACCATCATCTTTCCTATCCCAGTTCAGTTCGAAACCAAATGCATGTCAACCAGTCTGCCGCTAATCTAATCTAATCATATCTACAATTCTTCCAAATGCATCCGAGTCATCTCCTCTTGCTCTACATCTACCTCACCATCTTCTTCATTCAAAAAGTCTAACGCACCAACAGCTTTCCCATCACATGCTCTTTCCAACGCCAAGAATGCGAAATGACCTCCAACCACCGGTCGAGCTTTAAATTCGATGCCAGGAAATCCGCCAGTTCCCTCGGTATCATATAAGTCTGTGAGTGGTTTATCTGTGATATGGTTAGTTAATGGCATCATAATGTTTTGAATGAGAGCTAATCACCTGTCGTAGTCTCATTGACCCACAATGCGATTGAGTCAACAATTTCCTCTCGGACTTTCTTACTAGCAACAGAAACAGCAAAGAACTCCCAGTCACTCTTAGTGTACATATGTCGACTATCTAGAGGTAAACCATACTTTTGTCGAACCGAGTGATACCAATCACTCTGTAATTTGTAAACCTTGTCACTAACAAATCCCGTCTTTGAAGTTTGGTGATCAGGAAGATTGATAGGTGTTTGTTGGTCTTTCCCGATGCTTGGAATAGATGCCGAGCTTGATGGGATATGGAAACAAAGTAACGAATCTGCAAACAGATTGTATAGAATGGTCCATGATCCATACCAGGAATATGCTAATTTGGCATGAGTTCCATCTCTGGAGAAGGCAAATTCTTCCTCCCATCGTTTGATGTAAGTTTCGGAAATGTTGCGGTAAAAGATAGCATCTTCAGTTTCACCAACGACTTCGGCTATCTCACTCATAGCCTTGATACCTATGATACCCTTCAAGGCAAGATTTGTTTGATTGGCTAGCCATCCAGCAAAGTCATCCGTTGACAATTGGTTGCTAGGTATAAGGGTTTCCCTGACCAAATAGCCAGTCCATTGTTTCCATAATCTATAGGATTTCTTGACCCATTTTCGTGCTTGCTTCTCGCCTTTAGCTTCGATGGGACCACCGACAGTATCATCCATACCATCTGCTTCGATGAAAAGTGGGAAAGCACTTTCGATAAATTGAGAAGATTTATGGGCGCCTTGATTAGACCAAATACTTGCTGGCTTAGTGTCGTACTTCAGTGAGTTGACTAGTGCCAATCCCATAATGAGCATGTTACCACACTCCTCAACGGGCATATATTCGTCCCTACCATCGGGATGTCCTGTTGCATTAGGGAATGATGAACCAAGATCATGCATGGCGTAATCATTACTATCGGAAATCAGCAGGATGCATGTATAAGTTTTTAAATAATGGAAAACTTACGGATATTGACCACTAAGCATATGCTCAATCAAAGGCTCCAGCATATAGGCCAACCACCTAGGGTTGGTGTACAGAAAGAATGGAAAAGCGGGGTATATGACATCAATAGTGTTCATATTTCCATCAGAAGAAATCTCCTTGAAGAAGATAATAGGATCATCTGGAGTACCAGAGAAGGAAGCTGCGCCTAATACTTGCCGTGCACTAAGGGCGAGAATATCCTTGTAGTCCTCAGATCCAGATTGCAAAGCATCAATCGCAAGCTGATCCGAGTAATTGCTTGCAAGATCAAAAGCCTTCTGGAAATCATGGTAATGGAAGTTGAGCAGATTATCAGCGTGAGGGTAATAGGAAGCCCATAATGGGCGCATGGCTGTCAATCCTCGAGCAGAAGCAAATTGAATGACAGGATCCTGGATATGTGCGATCGTGAATAGAGCACTAGCGTATGTTTTCCCACTTGCAGCAGAAGTAGAATTAGAGGTTGAATTAAGTTTGAAAGAGTAGGCAAATGCGAAAACTGGTTCCTCATCCATAATTCCTCGGAATTTGGTGTCAACAATATTCTGCAGAGTTCCATTTCGAGAGAAGGCGGTTCGAAGTAGCCCTGATGTACCAGCTTGATGGTGAGCATCAGCCGGGCCAGTGAAGTGTAATTGTCCCCATTCTGAACGATCACCCCATTCGGTGAACAACTGCTCAACCACTCGTTTGACTTTCCATGTCTTCAACGGTAATTCTTTACTACCTTTCGGTGGCTCGCTCTGGCTAAAAGTCCAATCAATGGCATTGGCTCTATCACCACTAACCCACAATCCATTGATATCCAGATATACATCGAGATCAAATCCCCCTGTAACATGTATAGTCAAATATGCCGCAGGTATTGATTGTCGGAATGTAGAAGTCGGTGTGATGGGAGATAGGAAGGACAGGACCACCTCGAGAGGATCTTGGGATTTAGAGGGCGAAGGAATGTTATATGTGAGGTTTGTTGTTGACGCATCGAAAGTAGCACCTAGAAATGTAGGATATGATACATTGAAGCTATGAATGAATTAGTCGCTATACGCAATTCCTCATTCAATGGCAATAGCTCTAGAACATACCTATCCCCAGTTTTGCTTAACGAATCTTGTGGTCTACCCAGCAATGGGTAAACAGTATCAGACTGAGGTACCGCAGCGAGTACAGAGAATCCAATCTATAGAAAGATGGTATTTTAGTGACTGAAATTGTTTGTGGGGTAAAATCCTTGGGAGTCCGTACCTCTTGACCTGTCCAGAATATAGGCCAATGTTCCCATGGATTTTCTCTTGCATGTCCTAACCAAGCACTCAGATATGGATTGCGAACAATCAATGGTACCACTGGCGGGGTCAATGTAGAAGCTTGTACGACCGTCGCTGCTATTGCAGATGCAGCCTGAATATAGTTTGTCCAACGCATGGTTGCTGTTCTATGTTTCGTGCATGTACTTGCAGATATGCACTCGTATCATCAAAGTACCATGAAAAGATACTCAGATGAGAGAAATAAAGAGGGTTGAAGAGGGATGAGTAATGAGGAATGAGGAAAAGAAAAGGAAAGAGATGATATGTAAAGAATTCACAACTATTCCAAGCAACTTCATATAAAGAAGAGAAGTGGTAGTAATAATTTGTAATGAGAAACGATGAGAAAGTGTTGCTTACTGGTGCTTTGTTCTTTGGAGAAGAGAAGAAGAAAAGACAAGACAAGACAATAAGTGAGACACCATAAGACCATGAGACCATGAAGACTACTCGAGTACTTACCTAGGTAGGTAGGTAGGTTGGTAGGTAGGTATGAGGGACCAAACTCTCTTTCAAAGCTACCAAGCTGGAAATGAAGAAGCCCATAGACATCGTGCCCATTGCATCCGTCTCTCACTTGCCCCTGTTTTAATGCGGTGCGGAGTACGGAGGGATTATGTTGTCATGAGACGCGAAATGCGGGGGCTAGCGTGCTTGGTATAACTTTTATGTTAACCAATGTTATGAAACATACATTTCATAAAGATAGATATCATATCATATCATCAACATGTCTCAAATTGACTTCAGACGACAACCTTCAAACCTTATAAGGAGGGCTTATACCAGCCATGAATAGTTTCATGTTCTATCATAAAGGGTCTGCGTGCGGTATTGCATCCTGTGGAACATATATAACTCTGACTTCAAGTAGAGAAACAAAAACATCATGTGAAATGTTATTTTTCTGCTTGGCAAAGAACCAATCAAAGGATGTCAACCGGCAACCTTTTTATTGATCAAGTTTAGATTGCATTGCATGAACCCATTCGGAACGTCACATTAATGCTTCCCCTCATGTTCAACCAAGAGGGGTCATCTTACTTATTTGCTTTCAAATACATCCATTTCTTGAAATCAACATTCAATTCATTTGCAACCACAACCACAACTACGACAAAAATAAATAACACAAGATCAGTATGTCTATGCAAGGCAAGGTAATCGCCATCAGCGGAGGTGCTTCAGGAATAGGTCTCGCCACAGCTAAGCTTCTAAGCTCACGCGGTGCAAAAGTTATGATCGGAGACATAGACTGGGATGCACTCAAGAGCGCCTCGGAGTTTTTCAAGTCGAACAATCGGTCTTACAATTGCAGGCACCTGGATGTTTCAGATCGCGAATCCGTTCAAGATTGGATTGATGAAATATTGATGTTTTTTGGAAGACTTGACGGTGCTGCGAATTGCGCGGGGATCATTGGTAAACATCATGGAATAAAGAACATTCAAGACATGGAGGACGAAGAGTGGAACAAAATCATTGCGGTTAATTTGACCGGAATGATGTATTGCTTGAGGGCAGAATTGGGTGCGATTGTAGATGGCGGAAGCATTGTCAATGTGGCATCGATACAAGGAACACAAGGTCAGTTATATTCTTCATACTTCTCATCAAGTCGATGGTGGAGTTTTTGCTGATTGAAATTGCTTGGCCATAGGTTTTGCAGGAAGTGGTGCATATGTCGCCAGCAAACATGGAGTTATTGGCCTCACTCGTTCTGCCGCCAAGGAAGTCGGCGATAGGAATATTCGAGTAAATGCAGTAGCACCTGGTTCGATCGAGACACCTTTGTTGAATCAAGCTCGAGAGATCAAGACGACTGTAGGTACCAGTGATCCTACTGTCATCAAGCGAACTGGTACTGCGGAAGAAATTGCGGCGATCATTGCGTTCTTATTGAGTGAGGAAAGCTCTTTTGTCACGGGTGCAGTTTATGCTGGAGATGGTGGATGGGGTGCTTGATCTGGGACGAGATACTACTACAAGCAGAGTGGAATATCGTCATCGTCAAATTCTGTAGCAGCCGCTTTGTGTTTTCCCCCCAAGTCCAGCCTTGCGAGATGGTATGACCGCCACGGCCAATCTTTAGTGATATGCCATTCAATTTACTACACTGAACAATTGGTACAATCTGCCACACATTTCCTTCCAGTTTGTGTTCAATAACAACTTCAATAGCAATGAAACAATCCCAACCTATCAACTCTTCTGTTATTCTCGTATACTCATTTTGGGGTGACAATAACGAGGCTTTTCGGCTACATGCAGGACCGGTGTTATTGCGCAGCACTGAACATACCCCTCCCCCCCAATGTCATTGACATACTTGAGAGCATTGATTAATAAAGGTTTTGTACATCTCTCGCATTTTTTAATTCGCAATTTTGCCAGTGTCCAAATCATTCAGCATTTTCCACATGGCGCCTTCAATTACAGTAACTGTTTCTATTATACTGATTTCGATCTCGTTTCTGCGTTGGATCACGAAAGAAATGGAATCTCCACCGCTTTTAATATTGAAACGTGAGTTATTGCCTCTGCATTACTTATCCCAAGATATAAGCATATCACAATGGGTCGAATTCTTCACCCTTTGCTTAACCCCATTACTCCTACATGTCGTACCCGGATTCCCGCGGCCAATAATTAAAATGGGTTTAGATAAATAGTGGAATAGTTGCGGATGCTTGCGAATGGATGAGAATGGTTGTAGAAGGTAAGAAAATCCACTATAAGTTCACCCAGGTAAATATCATTTTCTACTTTCCTACATCATTCAATTTCATCTCGCTTAGACATTTAATAACCAACAAACCCCTAAATCCCTCTCTCTCCCCTCAACACCCCCACACCCCACAAGCATCCTCCAAAATCATCGCCGCCCCCTTCTCCGCAACCCCATAAACCGTCGCCTGCATATGCGCCGCCACCAACATCGGAACCACGCTCGCATCCAGCACTCTCACTCCCTGCACCCCATAAACCCTCAACCTCTCATCCACCACTCCCCCCCATTCCCTCGGCATCATCGACGCCGTCCCCACATGATGATTCTCACTCACGACCGTCTCGCGTAGAAATTCCTCAATCTGCATCTGTGACGTAATATTCGGACCGGGATAGGATTCTGGGGGGAATGCGGCTGTGAGGGAGGGGATATGGCGTAGGACGCGCGTGTAATTGAATGCGAGGGTTAATTGGAGGAGATCCTGCGGATGAGAAAGGTAGTTGGGGTGTAAGAGAGGAGGTGAAAAGGATGAACGGGTGGAGATGGTGACGCGGCCGCGCGAAAAGGGTAGTTGCAGGGCGGGGGCGATGATGGTGTCGCCGATGATGAGCTCGATGTGTGATGTGTTTGGGGAGAGCAGATTCCAGGTTAGGATTTGGTGTTGGTGTGTGTAGCCGGTGAGGACGGTGGGTGGGGTTGAGGGGAGGTGGTATTGGGTGAGGTTGATGGGGTGGGGTTGGAGAGTGTTATGTAGGGGGGTGAGTGATGTGCTGTTTATGATGGTGGCGAGGGGGAGGAAGGAGAATATATTTGCAGAGGTGGTTGTAAAGGGTCCTATGGTTGTAAGAGATTTGTTTTAGTATATTCATTCCCGTCCTCAAAACCAAATTTTAACCTTTTAAAACTCACCTTCCCTCTTCTCATCATATAGTTTCCGCATCTCCGCTGCCCACGTAGCATTCGTACTCAAATTTCCATACTGCACCTCTATATTCGGAGCTTTCCCCCATCTCAAATCAGCATTCATCGTTTCATTTAATTCAAGTATACATTGACAACCAAAAATACCCAAACACAATGAAACAAATCAACATACCAGGATTGGAAGTAACAAATAATAAATGATCTTGATAATTTTCACCCACGCCCTCACTCTCAACCACAACTTCAATTCCTAATTCTTCCAATACGTCTCGGCGTCCAATTCCGGATATCAACAGTAATTGTGGTGTTCGTTGCGCGCCGGCTGTTAGTATAATTTCGTGGCGTGCGTGGATTGTGTGTCGCGTGGTGTTTTCTCCGGAGGCGTATTCGACGGCTGTGGCTCTGGGTTTGGGTTTTGATGTTGTTGTGGAATTTGGAGGAGGTGGAGGTGCAGATGCAGATACAGATGAAGAATGGGAATGGGAATGGGAATGAGAGGGAGGAGAAGAGAATAATATTTGTGTCACAGTGTGAGATGTGAGGATATGTAAATTGGGACGAATAGCAAGATGAGAATTGGGAGGTAGGAATGATTGAGATGTACTTCGTTGTTGGGAGGAGGGGGTGATGGATAGCAGGAAGAAGAATACGCCGGTGTTAAGGCCTGAGAGGGAGTCTTGGATATAGGTGATGCCAAGTGAGAGGAACGCGGAGAGGAAATTTTCTGGGTGGTTGGTTGGTTGGTTGGTTAGGGGGGTGTTTAGAATGCAGGGGTTGGAACTTGGAGATAGATGGGTTTATATGCAAATATGGGAGAAATTGAAAGAACGCAGCGAGGCAAGTAAGTAAGAGAAGGGAAATCTCACTAGTGCTCGGCCACACAAATCTTGGAAATCCATTCTGCACGAAACCTCCCTCTCCATGTACATGTTCATCATACCCGATACCCCATTCTTCCACTTCTTCCTGATTGGCAGGCGTATAATTTTCGCTTTTCTTGAAATAAGGTAGTAAGCCCTCCCAATTCCACCCAGGGTTCCCGAGGGCTTCCCAGTGGTTATATTCGGCAGCGTTGCCGCGCATGTATACCATGCCGTTTATGGCGGATGAACCTCCGATTACTTTTCCGGCGGAAAGGGGGAGTGTTCGATTGTGGAGGTGGGGTTGGGGAGTTGAAGTCGTGTTGTAGTCGTAGATTGTGTTGCGGGGACCGGACCCTAGGAAGGGGAGATTGGAGGTGGTTATAAGGGGGATGGTTATAAAATCTTCGTTTTGATGGCTAGTGTGGTGGGGATGAACATGTTGGATGATGGATCTTGAGGGGATATCTTGGAGGTTGAGTACTTACAAGCTACCTGCTTCGATTACTAGAACGGTGGTATCTGGAAGGTGTTAGTATAGTATCTGAATTTGGGTGGAATGGATCGATTGAGTGTTGTGATAGTGGGCAGGTTACTTTGATTCTCGGATAATCGGTTTGCAACAACGAGTCCACTTGTTCCTCCTCCTACAATCACATAATCATAAGTTGGTAACAGATCCGTGGACCTCTCCAGAACCCTCCCTGAGAATACTGGGTGAGATGCCACATTCTGGAAGATAGCTATAAGCAAAACAAACGAGACCAGCCGTGCCATCTTTTTTATAATGATAGAAAATGAGTGGTCAAGATCAAGTTCATTGAAGTGTAGTAGTAGTAGTACTAGACAGCTAATATAATATTTTGCAATACGACATTGACACTCAACCGAACGTATTCCCGTCTTAAGATCTGCAATATGGGAGTACCTATCGTTCAGTTGAATGGTAATTGGATGAAAAAGATTTTTCATACCAAATACAATGCTGACTGCAGCGACCAAGGTTCTACTGACCAATAGGAACGAGGGAGGAATGCAGAAGCTGGACACAGTCGAGGCGGGGGTATATTACACAAATACGTTCTAATACTATAAATCGTCATGACAGTGATAAGTGACTGTCGATCTAACTTGACTAGAAGTAAAATGTTTGTTTTATTAAACTTTAGATGTGCTCTTAGATAGTCCATAAAGGAAGGTGGTGCTGCTGGTAGTTGGCATGCTGTCATATTGTATCTGTTGTGCGGTAGACTTGTCTGGAATTTGAGGGTCAAGCTAAGATGCCGCAGTTCTCCGGTTCGTAGGGGATCAACTCGATCGGATCTACCTTGACATGAAAATAGAACTAACATCTCTCATTTCAACCAAATCGACAACCTCATATCCAGTTTCATCCAGAACACTGATGCTCCAATTGCATCCAACTTCCAAAACATGTAGTGTGTTACTTTTCACCACAGATTCAACATCTCATTCGACTTCGAATATGAGCTGAAATCGAGTAGAATGGACATGCCGCAGCAGTACAAGATTCCTAAACCACATTTGAGCTACAAAGCAATAGTGTCTGGTATTCTTGTTGTTGCGTGTGAGTTGTGAGTTTTATATTTCTGCAACTTCGGAGATTGTTCTTATCGCCGAAGATATGTCTGAGCAGAAGCTCAAACCATAATGTCAACAACATCTTCATCCTCCCAAAGCTTTATACCTCAATTGAGATTCAATTCTACAACCATGAGAAACTTACCTGCGCTTGTTCGTGAGAAATTTCAAGCAGCTCAAACTGCTGGTGATATCACCTATTTCCCAACTCAATTGGTCATTTTGAATTGTAATTCATTGCCAGTAAGGCCTCAATATCAATGGTCCCCCATCAGCGATACTTACTGATTTGCTGTCAATGTAGTTTCAATTACGGTATTCTCCTGCCCTGGCACATAAGCCCAAGTCCGATAAACCTAAAGATACCTCCCAAAAGTCATTTGATCCATTTCTAAAACCTCCCAAGTCGTTGCTAGTTGCGGAGATTGGCTCGCACAACATCGTACTCAATAAATATCCCGTCATACCGGATCATTTCATTCTTGCAACAAAAGAGTTCAAGAAACAAACATACTTGCTGGAAGAGGCAGATCTTGTGGCAGCATACGACTGTTTGAAATCTTACCATGCAGGAGGAGAAGAATTGTTCGGTTTCTTCAACTCAGGAGACCATTCTGGAGCATCACAGCCTCACAGGCACATACAATTCCTCCCGGTCGAATCCATGAGGACAGGATTAGGTCAAGAGCTGGAATGGTCTCCATTGGCAGACCATCTCGCCGAGATACCTGCACCTGGTAATTGCCCTGCATCCTTAGAGATCCGTCGCTGACACCTCATCAAGAGCTACCATTCACATATTTCGCCGCAACTCTCCCAATTAATATTCGTCCCTCGGATTTACACGCCATCTACATCGATTTACACCAGAAAGCTTGCCAACTGATGAAAGTCAAATCTCCTGCGAACCATAAGAGTGAATCGACTATCAGCTACAACCTTGGACTTACCGATAGATCAATTGTGCTGTGCCCACGAACATCAGAAGGACTTTCCATTAAGGATAGCGAGGGCAATACCATTGGATATATTGCTCTGAACGGAACTCTCCTAGCAGGTACCCTATTGGTGAAGAGTGAGACTGAGTGGGATGCTGTGCGTAAGAATGCGGAACTTCTTGTTGATGTCCTGAAGACAATTGGAGTCCCTCGGAACATAATCGATCATCAATATCGACCTTCTGCCTCCTTTGACAAACTAATAGAGGGAAAGATATAGCATAAGTGTTCGCATGTATTTGAAATATGCAAAATATTTGTTTATTACACCATAATCATAACACAAAGCCTTCCTAGCATTACCTTTCTACATGCGCGCACAATCGATCAACTGACTCTCGGCCACTTCTTAGTATCTCGTCTCTTTTGGAATATTTAATCAGGACCTTCAAGCTCAACCCACCGTTTCCGACAAGTGGCATAACCAAATCGATATGATCCCCCATTTTCGGCGATATACTCTGCAACTTTCTTCCACTGTACTTTTGGCTCTGAACCTTCACGGTTACCACGCCCAAATTGTTTAGCAGCATTGCTTAGGAGTTTTAGCTACAAGCGAGCGTTAGCCTCACCATCGTCGCATAATCGGGGAATTTACATACATCATTGTCTGTCCATTCTGGCCTTCTGACTCGATCCTTTTTATCTTTGGTCAAAGTTCGAAAACGACCTCTGAGCGTTGACTCCGCATCGGTAAACTTCCCTTTGGTTCGAATTGTTCTATATGACATACCAGCCCGCCTTGAGTTAACCAAAAATCCATTTTGTGCGGATCGGTCGCTTAGTTGAGGAGCATCAATGGCTGGCGGACATGTATCGTGAACCAAATCATTCTGGGGTTCTGTAGGTACAATATGATCCTTGGTATCGAGGTTCTTTTTGATGACTGAATGACTTCGAGTGTTTGCAACTGCACTGATAATTGGAGTGCTGGCCCTCGCGCGGCGATGTTTCACTGGGCTACTGGTGATTTGTCGAGGTTCTTCTGGCTTATTTGTAACTATCACATTACTTGGAAGTCCAGAAAGTTCCGCATCATCATTTTTGATGGGCCTGGAACTTGGAAGCGTATGTCGAGGACGTGATTGAGGAGTTTGCTCCGCCACCAATTGATCCCCTGCACGTGAAGAACTTGGTGTGTCTTCCGGGCTGTTTGCGACCGCAGTGAACTCTGATGACGAATATGTCGAGGCATGGCTAGATGCCGTAGTGGCGATGGAGGTGGTGGAGGCGAACGATGTATTGAGGTTCAACGCTTTAGGTCTGACAGTACCTTGAATAAACGGTTCGCATGGCCAATTGCTCGGTAGCTCATACGTTTGACTCCAAGGGTCCCCAAAATGCTCTAGATGCCTGTCTTCCGGTCTAGGAAGGCCATCATGAAAGTTTGAAACCTCATAAGACCTAGACATCTCACCTGCATGATTGTCGATGTTGTTGTGTATATAGGTATGATTGTTTATTCGATCCGAGCACCAATCACTTTCTGCGCCATTATGTGTAACGCCGGATTTTAAGTCAAGAGTATCGCATGTATTCAGCGAGCTCTTATTCGATGTGGAGAGGCTGCTATAAACCGTACTTGGACTTGTGTTGTCATTTCTGAAACATTCTTCGGTTCTCAAGGTATTGAAAGAGAACGGCACTTGATTCATTGACAATGATGTTGAACTTCTGCAGCTCTGAAAAGCTGCAAAACTTCTGCGTCCCTGGTTCATGCTCATCTGAGAGTAATCTATTCCAAGCGTTGGACTTGAATCATAATCATGATTCATGCTAGGTACTGGATGTAATGGAATCGAAAAGGATTGCCCTTTGTTTGGCTGTTGCCTTGGATGTATGGCCGCATAAGTAGGCGTTCTTTGCGGGTTGCTTGCGCGGTCTGAGGATAGCGGTGTCGTATCCTGATAGAACTCACCACACTCTGTTTGAATCTGCTTTGTGTCAGTCTCAACCCAAAGGCTTCTGTCTGTTTTCATTTACTTGCCAGTGGGAAGTTTTTGTGGTCTTGGAAAGTTTCAATATGCTGCTCCCAGCTGGGCGTGACTGGTGGGTTGGAGACGACACTCCAGGCGTTGTTATCCATCTCAAAAAACTTCTCGTTCATTGTTATCATATAATGACTTGCGACAAAGGGATCGAGACCGTTCGAGATAATTCGGGGCTCCGCGTTATTTAACATCATTCTAGAACTTCACCGCTATCTCGTCTTACTGCCATGTACGTTTGCGACCTGTATTTCAATGTCAAGATGCACTTCAGCAAGTCCAGTTGCTGTATAGCTTCTGCATATGCTATGCGGGAATGCTTTAAACAGTCCTAAAGATTGAGGCGGTCAAGCTACAAACTAGGCACTAATCTTTCTCCTTTGCGATTTTGTCGATGTGGGATGAAGTTTTTGACATCCAATCAAGATTGCTATTGGATGATTAGTCGAACTGGCTGTTACTCATCTTCCTTCATTGCCAAACCTTAAAGGAAAAATGGGAGTTCATACTTACATTTGACATCGCTATAGAATCCTATTCCCAAGTTGTATTCGATATACAGAGAACTTATCAGAGCTAGGACCATACAGCTTTATATTTCATATACCGGGGAACAATTACATCGATTACAATGATCGATTACAATGATCGGACCGAGCGCTACACTACTACATTATCAACTTCCAGAGACCCCGTAGAAGGAAGCTCAGATCAGTCTCATGCCCTAGATTGCACTTGTTTACTTTTAGCAGGTCATAGCTCTTCATTCCAACTTTTCAAAAGTTTGAAATTCCTGCAAATCTTTCATCAATGCATAGGTGTGAAGCTGCACGTGTCCGCGGCAATCCCCACATAATGTTCTTCTTTTTCATGGTAACGAGGGAAGCGGGCGGTTGCCTGCATCCTTCCTACCGAACTCAACGGCACAAACTCTTAGTACAGGCAAATCCCGTAACTGAATAGCGCTTTGATCTTTATTATATAGGGCATTAATATATACCTGACGCTATACTCATTGTGCCCTTTTTTTATGATCCAGATCTCCTTATTGAAACATTCACAAATTCATAGGGAAGTGTGTTGTGAAAGTACCTGGGGATTGATCTCAGGTATGTTCTTTCTTCTGATTGTGCAATTTCTATTCGGCGTGTGCCGGGGATTGTTACACAACTGCTTTTAGTTCCCATCCTGTCAGTAAAATCCACTGTACCGGCATTAGGAACCCTTCTCTGCTTGGCCATATAGAACACTGTAAATGCTAGGTAGTTGCATCTTGACAACTTATTTCTAGCCAATATTTTTGTTGTCCAAATTTCTGTTCTCCACATTACGGAGAATACCATCCAAGGATCAACCGCTACACCCAGTATATGCCTCGGTCACTTATTTCAGATCAAAGTGCATCTGCAGTCTCCCGACACTTTGCTAAACCCCATGTAATTTCCTGATCTTTAGTTCTGTATTCATTCAAGTACTTGAGACTATCATAAAATCTATCATATTTCATATTAACAAGCGCAGATCAGTAGCTTTGTGCTACCATCGGACTCGACGCCGCATTACAATTTCGATCAAAAACATGCTTGGTTCAGAGAGTGGTCAATGATTTTGAGACTTTATTAGCTCAACGTGGCAAACGGTTAACTGTCAGCCTGGGGTAGTCTTACTGTGTAGGAACCTGACAAGGATCCCTAGCTCGGATATTCGCATATACAAGCGCACCCCTTTCTACACGGTGGAGGCTGCATGATTTGAAGGCACGAATGTGCTATTGTGGTGCTAATATTGGGCGGATGTCATTGATTGCTGGAAAGCGCGGCTAAAATTTAAATGTCGCTGGTCATTTCGAAAAGTCTTCCTGGACTGGAAGGAGGCTCATGGGGAATCATTTACCTGGAGGCTGGTAGGGATTGGCGCATCTATTGGTTGTAAGCGTTGCATTTCCTTGATTAGATGAATCTCACTCCCGTAAGTCTCGTGCTACCAAGTTTCTCATGGGTATGTTCATTTCCAGTTTCGTCGATAATGATGCCATCTATTCTATTATCTGGTCAGAGCTAAGCAACTGCCAGCTTGGTGGCAAAAAAAAATCTTTTGCCAGATCTATATCGCTCTGTTACACAATGCACATACTGTTGCACATTCGTTCTATCAAGTTGCGGCAGATCTGACTAGTTCTGGTTCGTTTTTGATTTTTTTCTCTTGGGAAGATTATTGATCTTGTGATGTAATATACTTTTCAGTCACAAGCTTTGATATCTATCTGGTTCTCCTATCTTAGGTCTTGTAAGACTACTTCCCATATACTAGGGGATAAACGGAAAAGATCCGAAGGTTTCTGGATTCTGTGTGTTACGAGATGAAGAGGGTATGTTAGGTTAGTGATAAACATGCCAAGGAATTAGAGGTTTACTCCCATTAGTTCGCGGGAGGAGACTGATCTATTCGCCTATGAATGATTTTATGTATGTACCAGTAGTTTAATAGCAAATATGCCATGGAATTTACTATGAAAATTAGCACTTTGTGTTCCCTAGCTTCTACTCCTATGGTTAGAAATAATGGGCATGTGTATTGATGGATGGATGGAGCCGGTTTTTATTATATTTGGAGCTGATTATGTTCGGGTTGGTCATTATTAGTTTGACTATCTAATTTATTTGATTGATTGATTGACTGACTGCTATCTATGTACTAGTAGTGTATTTGTTTATTATGGGTTCAGTTCAGGCAGAGATATAGTAGCAATATGTATATACTAAAGCAAACCTTATATAAGGAGATGAGAGCAAGGAGAGGTAAGGAGAGCAAAGAAAAGCAAAAGAGAGATAAGATGAAATTCCAGTGACAGGGTAGACAGAGGTTCAGTAAAGCGTTCGGTTAATATAATTTTGTCACACTATACCGATATTCATCTAGTAAGTATTACTCTTTATAAACAATCAATCTATAACTATTATTATAGATAGTAGCAATAAATATTTTATCTATATTCCCTTATTCTAATATAATATATATTCCTTTTTATATCTATTTCTATTTATATCTATTTATAACTATTTATAATCTAGCTTTCTTTAGCGAGAGATATATATATATATATATACTAATAATATTAGTAAATAGAATTATTAATATTCTTTAAACTATTAAAAACCGTAACTCAAGCTAGTAGAGATCAAGATTAATCAGATTTTGTATTTTGAGTTCGTTAAATATAATATTATATATATTAGTATAGAGAGTTGCGTCTAGCGATTTAAAGAATAAAAACGAACTATAAGTTCAATTCTTTTTAAAAACTTATAATATAATCAGAAAAGAAACTCTATTTTCTTTATTTTAATAATAGAAAGAACTCGTATTATATAGCTTATTTAACTCGTAATTCGTAATTCAACTTATAATATCTATATTATTAGTCTATATTTGTCAGAAGTGTATATAGATTATATTCAGATATAGAATCTAAGCTATGTTATTGAGTATATAAGTAAACAAGATATATACTAATAGTGAATAAAGAAAAGAGATAATGCTATAATACTTATAGTACTCATGATTTTCTAATATCCCCTCTATGATCAAAACCTTGATCATTCTGAAGTACATGCTACAAAGTAATCTCTTTATATAAAGTTGACCAAAT